TCTGTTTGAAGAATGATGAAGATAAACTTAGTTGTCTGACCTTGCAGACCAGAGATCAGATATGTCCACAATCTCAATACCATGCCAGGTGCATTTTTTTTTAATTGGATAGAACAACATTGTTTTTGATGCCAGCATCGAGATAATCACTAAGTGCACATAAGGCTAGCTCTTTAATGAAAAAGGAAGTTCTGCCTGTAACCTTGCCCAGGACTTGAACTCATTCTCCCTAAGCCCATTGCGCTATGAACAAAGCAAATAAGTGAAGGTCGAAGTCAGAATAGTAAGGTTAAAATTCAAACAGTTTTTACCCAAGTATGGTTGCTACCATATTTCAGAAATGTTCAAAGTCTGTTCTCTCCTAAAATAAATATTTTAATTAAACAGATTGATACTTGAAATCACATGGAAAGCTTTATCAAATAAAAATTATATACTATATATTAAATGTTATGAACATTTTCACCTGTAAGAAAAGGCAAAAACAATATATTTCTTAAATATAGCCAAAATTTTCAACAGCAGTAGTATTTCAAGAAAGACAAAAAGGTCTCATGCAGCCTGTATTTTTGAATTAGCTGTAGGTGGAACACTTAATGCTTTTGGATCAGACCAATAAAGTATCAAACCTATAAGTTTTAATGAATGAGTTTCTTTGCCTTTTTAAAAAATTAAAGATATAAATTAAGTTACATGAGAAGCCAATATTTTATAAGTAATTGAATCCTAACTTTATGTAGCCACCTGCATTTTTAATTAAGCTAGAGGCAGGGCAACATTTGTGGTTTGTGAATTCAGAAGTAAATTTGCTTTCTTTTTAAAATAAAGATACCTACTTTAATTACTTAAATAGATTATTAAATTATAATCAAGGTTTTCAGCTAAATTAAAAGCCAATAATTTTATAAACAATTTTAATAAAGACCAGAAACAGCTAGTGATTGCTTTAATAAATAAAAATTAATATATGTTACTTATGTACATATATTTCAAATTTTATGAAGGCTTTGGCCTCTTTAGAAGGGCAAAACAGAGTAACTAAATATTTCTTCCAGTTTGAAATTAAATTATCATGGATTTAAAGCAAAGAATATCCTTACCTGATATTATTCTACAATGTCATTATAATTTTTGATATTTTATACCAGTATATACCAAACAAACTTACAAACTAATTCTTTGAATGTTTGGCAGCAATTTAAAAAGCACATGAAAAGATTTAATCCCTTCCTCTATATGGAAGGCCCCCTGGGAAGGCATTCTATATTGGCCCTTCTTGCCCTTTTTGCCAAGAAGGACCCTCTTGTCACAATCCAATTGCCCACAGCTGTTTCCTGAGCTCTCTAATTATGCTGAGATTGAAGCCTCATGGTGGATGAAACCATGGATCTCTCTCTTGTCCAATGGCTTAAGCTGGGCCCTCCCTGGAGAAGAAACCTGGGTTCCCTAGGATATGTGATCAATGCCAGGGCCCTGCCTGCAGGCAAGGGGATCCCAAGGCAGGTACTGGGCATGGAGGCCATAGCGGCATAGGCTACCAAGGAGACAGAACTGAATCTCACATCACCCTGCTTGGCCCCGAAGGATGACTGGTTAGCCAGTGATGGGTAAGATTCCTCAAGGGAGGGACAACCGAATACAGGCACAGTTGCAGAGGGGCCATCAGGAGAGTACTTGAGGATCAACAGAGGTGGGGTACAGATCCTCACCGCCACCCAAGTTGCCCACCTGAGGGATATCTCCTGCCCCATGGCTGCTTCGTGCTTCCCAGGTCCAACTCAGATTGGGACCCTGACAACAAACGGAGACTTGTCCAGTTTAGATCAGGACCGAGGCAACAGAAATGTGGCTGATATTATATTTAAATCCAGTCTAACACTAGGAATGCTTAAAACCTTCTCAAGGAAGCAAATAATCTTTTGCATTAATATTTACCGAGTAAACTAAAATTATTGTTATAGAGTATCAAATTTTTACAGTAAAATAGTAGTCAAGTTTTCAGATTAATTTAAATTGGCTAATTGAAATAAGTAAATATTCAAGAAAATTACATTGTACAAAAAGCTGTTTCTAAAGTATTAACTAAAATTTCTATTGGTGGTTCATTTTATGGTAAAATTGTTTAACATGCAATTAACTCTAAAGCAGTGATATTTTTGTGAAAAAAATTAAAAATTTGAAGATTGCATTATAAAAATTTTCCAAAAAGCCTCTAATTAATTAAATAAATCAAAAAAGCGGGGATAGTGGAAAAATATTATGTAAGGAAACATATCCAGAAATTTTTTTCTTTAAAAAACTAATTTTTATTTATAATGCTGGTAACAAGGCACCTATGAAAAATCTTATGGTGTCATAATAAGCCAAAGGAAAAATCATTTGGGCAAAAATCAAAAGGATCCCAAGTCTAATTTATAGAAAAGATTTCTTTATTAAAAGGTTGAAAATATGTTTATATTTTCAGAAAAACTCCAAGATTGTATGGATTCCTGCAACACCAGATCCCAGAGTGGACCTGATAGGGCTGTTCTAGCCACAGAATAAGTAGGAACTCAAAAAACAGAGGAGAAATAGTCCAGAAATAAAGATAGTGAAGATGCCTTGCCATGATAGCAGTAAGCACCTGTGCATTGCTGCAGGTTGCCCAGGACCAAGGACAAGGAAGAAGGAGCAATGCAGCTAATTCGGGTGCTGGAGCATTACATCCATCACCACAATGGACTCAGAGAAGCTCCTATGTCCCTTCACCCAAAAGGACTGAGAGTTGCCCATTGACAGCAAAGCAGAAGGAGAAGAAAACGGAAAGCTATGTAAGGGTCTGTGGTGCTAACATGGAGTCATCTCATGAGTTAAAGACTGAAGTGGAAGCTATTTCTTCAACCTTGTACCTGCTAGTGCTAGCATCTGTTAGCTTCCAGTCTTCTGAAGTCTTGCGCAGCCAAGTCCACGGACTCTGAGTAAATATACACCAGCAGCAAAAGAGATTTTCTTTCATTTTGTAGCTAAAATTTTTAATATGTCCATAGTTCCGATTTCTCATATTGTTGTTTTGCATTGGTATTTTTTTGTTATTATTTAAGAGCCAGAGTTTTGCTCTTGACATTCAAGTTTTGAAAATGATAACATGTACGTAGTTTAGTTTTGCATTGGCATTGTTTGCAATTGTTTTAATTTGGAGTTTTATTCTTAATGCTTAAATTAAAAAAAAAAAAGTGAGATGTAGAGGGCCAAATGGGAAGACACCTGGTCATTCTTTAGTTTGTTTCTGACTGGACCCTGGATATTGGCAGAATGTCAGTTGCACTCCCGCCCTGGGAGTGTAGAGATATTCTTAGTTCCTGACTTGTGTTGGTCCAGGTGAAAGGAGTGGGCCCTCCCAGGCTCCTTGTTTTCCTGTGAAACTCCCTTGATTGATTGGAGTATAAATAAATGTGCTGTGTGGCTCAGGAGGTTGTCAGTCAGTTCGGTGGCCCTCACAGGTCTCAGCTCAGATTAAAATCTATCTGTGTTTTCTCTCCTTATTTCTATTATTTTTATATTCCCTGGGCACCTCCACTTAGAACTGGTCCGTTCATCTCTCTTTCCTTGCGGGATGCAAAAAAGGGAGATCCTGCCAGATCAGGCCCCCACACCTATATAATAAAGAGCTAGGGTCATAACATCAACTAGGACCAAAGACTTCACCATGCCAGGCTAGGGAGTTGAGGGAATAGGATCTGATCACTTAGTGGCAGCAATGACTATTGAGCAGCTTCAAAGGCAGACCTCTTAGTCCCTCCTCCAGCCCCCAGACTCCAATCAATAGGTGGTAAATGAGAGGCAGAACTAAGGACTGGCTTCCTTAGTAATCCTCTAGGTTCAATCTCAAAAGGACAGGTCAGGCATCAACGGACCAGCACAGCTAACATGATCCCAATAGTGCAGCCCCCTCCTGGAACTTGGCCTTGGACATTACGGCCACTTCCCCTCCCTAGAGGCTCCACATGATCACTTGAGCCTGCCCTGTTGCAGAGGAAGTGTGATCACTGCACAGGGCAGAAATATAGTAAATTAAAAAAAAAAAAAAAAAAAAAAAAAAAAAAGATGATGACAAAGGGCCCTTCTCCATGAGCTCATAGGAGCCTCTGAACACTGGGCACCCAGAATATTTTAGGGGCTTCAGAGGAGCAGGGGATGCAGCAGGATCAAGAAACATCCCTCTTATTTGAGCAATAACTGCAGATGGGAGAATTGTGTTAAGATGTCATAGAGGACACCAGATGGTTCACATTCAGTTCCCTTTATTACTGACGTTTATTCACAACCAATCAAGCAAAGGTAATTACCACATCTATCTCCCAAGCCTGACTCCCTCCCCTACTAGAGATTGAGGTGCAAATTTCTAACTCCTTAGGATACATCTCCCCAAAGAAACTATCAAACCTTCTCAGGATCCCCACTCCCCCAACTGAGTAGTTTTATGACACTGGTTGCTGGATTCCTTTAAGATTCACTTATGTCTGGGCTTCGTATTCAACAGCCCAGAATAAAGCCTATGAGATGTGCACCCAGCTAGACAAACATGTAACAGGGTCACAGAATGGGGTTTGGGTTATAGAAGGTTCTATAGCCACAGTGAGGACAGGGATAAGCACAGAAACAGACCATGCCAGGGCCCCAACTCCTACAGCATATGCTTCAACATGGCATGCACCTGGGCAAGTAGGCCCAGGTGGATGATGTTGCTCCTTTCCTTCTAACTCTCTAGGGGGGTAGCATACAGCACACAATTCAGCTTGCTCAGCCCGATGGTGTGGCGAAGCAGGTCCTCCAGGACAGTCATGGAGATGGTGTTTTCACAGAAGCTTAGGGTCATGAGCTGAGAGCAGTGGCTCAGGGAAGGCAGGAGGTGCATGATCCCACTGGGAGTCCATGATCCCACACTCATCCAAGTCAAGTCCTGCAAGGTGGGGGAGGCTCTTTCTAATAGCAATTGGAGAGGTCCAGAACTGTAACATAGTTCAGAGCATCCTTAAATTCAGGACTTTCAGCTGGCTGACATTCAGATGCTGGGAGAGATGTCTCAAGTCTCTTTCTAAGAGCATGCAGCTAGTGATGGACAGAGTCTCCACGGGGGTCTTCAGGCAGCTGGGGAGACACAGAGCAGTTACGTGAGGGGGGGTGGTGGAATGGTTAGGCAGAGGGAAGCGAGCATGAGACAGGCCTTAAGGTAAAGAGGCCCATGTCACCTTAGTGAAGGTCTTCCAGATGATGATCAAACCCAGGACTTTGCCCAGTGAAAAGTGTGATTCAGTCAGTGCAATTTGAGTGGAATCCTTTCTCCATCTCCTACCTGCTCTGCGAGTGATTCAGCTCCATGAAACATCACACCCTTCATTTGGTTAGCTGTCACCAGGAGCACATCATACACCCATCCTCAGACACACAGATGTTGTGAGCAGGAGTAATGGGAAATAAATGTGAGGGAAGATCAGAAAGGAGCTCAAGCAGTAGGCAACCAGTGAACTTAAGTATTGGAGACATGACCTAAGATGCCTATAACTCGAGCTTCCTTCTAGCCAAAGCCTGGACTCCTGTTACCCTCATCACTTAACCAATGAGGCTACTGGCAAAGAGGCAGAAAAGGCTAACCTGGGTAAGGTCAGGCAACATCCAGGGGGTTTCTGGCACCTTGCAGGAATTTACATCGCTGTATTATTCATAAACCACATGTCTCTCTTCATTGTTGCACCCTCCAGAATCCTGCATTTACGAGGTATTCCCTTAGCAGGAGCCTTTGGCAGACAGGTGATTAGAGGTTGGTTTGGATTGAAAGGCTGCCATCACTAAATCGATAAGTGTGGACTTAAATCTCTGAAACCTCACTTCTGATGGGCTTTCCTCTCTTCACTGCCATCCTCATGATTCCATTGCACAATCTTCCCTTACACACCACTTAGGATTCCCAAGCTCCCATCACCTCACCCAAAGCCTCCATTTGATTCCTAGTAAGGAGTCTCTTTAGTAGCAACTTTCTTAGTTCATTTCTTTGTCTGTGGGAGAAGTTACTTGACAACATGCAAGGGGACAGAGCAGTGAACAAGACACTGACTGTGTGGACCCTCTAGTGACTGAGGTTCTGTAGTACTGCTGATGAATGGCACATAGGAGGTCCTGTCACTGTAGAATGAAATGAGAAGGGGCTTGCTCTGGTCTGCAGAGAAACCTCGCCATCCCTCACCTGAGGATCTGGTCCAAGCGGCCTTTGAGGATGGAGACATCATCCAAATAGAGCTCCTGGAGGCAGGAAAGCCTGAGGAACTGAGAGGTGAACAGGCTAACACAATGCTCCTCCTGCTCCAAGGTGGTGTGAGAAGACGTAAAGACATAGGAGAGGAGGAACCGATGAAAATTGCCCATCTGGCCCAGAAAAGGAGTGAGCTTCCTCAGAGTGGACAGCTTCCAGGTACAGTTTAAAACTTCAAATCCTGGACAGAGTTGAACTGCACCATATCCAGGATGTTAATGTTTTGCTTTGACACGGCATAAACCTTCAGCTTCTTACAGCAAAGGTGCAGCAAACCTCTCCTCTCGCTGACTTTCTTAATAATGTAGCTGAGGGACTCATCAAGGACACCTCTCTTGAGACAAAGATCTACTAACACCTCCATGGGGGCCCAGGATAGATTTGGCCCCACCTTTATGCTGTCCAGTTTCCCCCTCTTCCTCATGGGCTGTGGGACTTCAGAATCCAGCAGTGAGCACACATCAGCACTGTTTGCTGCCCACACATTCCAGAACTCCTGATGAGCTCTCTTCTGTAAATTCAGAAGCTGCAGTTTCCATCCTCTGCAGAGAAAATAGCAGGGAGACCCAGGTGCATTAGATAAAGGGGAAAAAGACAATGACTATGAGTCTAGGAATCTTGGCACCAGGGCCAGACTCCTGACTAGAATTTTACTCCTTACCCCAGAAATCAGATGCCCCTTGCCCTACTGGGATCATTCTTGGTCCTCCTTTATGGTACTTTTTGGTGCCACCAAGAAGGGAGTATCATGCCCCTCAGGTCACCCTCTCATTTTGATCAGCCCTATGTATGTGAAGCCTGTTCCCAGAATGACCCCAGCAGTGGCTCCAAGGCATCTCTGAGTTCTCCCTGTGGCCCTGTACAATCCTATATCCCAGCTGTAACTGCTCAGATCCCTGGGCCCAATAGCCACTGAATCCCCCTCACCTGGGTCGAGTCTCCTGGGCAAGCAGGGCATCCAGCCCATCTAGTGCAGCTTGCAAAATATCAATGTAAGGCTGTCTATAGTTTATCAGGGCTCCTAGAGGGAGGCAGGGGAAGGGCCAAGCCTGCACCAGAGCCTTCAGGACGCTGATGTGCCTCCCAGCCACGGCAGCCGTGAAGAGAGGTGGGAAGAGCTCCATAGGCAGCCACTCCACTGCAGCAATGGCCGAGGCTTCATCCCTCAGCAGGCTCTGGCATGCCAGGTCCAGGAGTCTGCGTTGAGATGGGTGGTTCATTCTGATGAAGCAATTCTGAAAGAGATTCTGGAAGACAGCAAGAGAGAGGCATCCTGTCAGGCTGAGCATGAGCACCCCATTTCCTCTCAGGATCCTGACTTACCAGAGCAGACATGGTGCAGGGAGCCCTCTGCTCAGACCTGGGCAGTGTCTCTCATACTCTTGCTTCTGATCCCTCCTCAGCCGCCTCAGAAACCATTATGCCCCATCTGGCCATACCTTGCTATTGACATCCTAGCTGAAATGGCAACTTCCAACTTACAACTGAACCTTAGTACTGGTTCTCCAGGCAGTTTACCTGATTGGGTTTTGCACTTCGCATAACCTCCAACTGAATCCATTCATGAAAAGAAGAGAAAATGAAACCAACCTGGAAGTAGACTTGATGGGTTGTTGGCACCACATCTAAATTTCTTAATGTTTGTGTTAACACACCATTAGGCAAACAGAGTATCTTCTCAAGAGAAAAAGGAATACAATGTAATAGTATTGAATACCAAATAGTCCCTGACACATGATGTTACCTCAATTGCAAATCCGTGTCCATTCAAAGAGTAACAGGACAGTTAGTCTTCCAGATTTTTAAAATCAAGCCTTCCCCAAAGGAGGAAGGGCCAAAATCACATCTAGGGGTTGATCAGGAGAAGGGAGGGGTGCAAGTTGTAATGGAACCAAGGGAATCAGCCAAAACAAAGTGCACACTTGGGAAACTCACAGGCTTTGACTGGGTAAACTATAGAACTGAAAAGGCTGGTGGTTAAGAAGGAAATGGGTGGATCCCTTAAACCCACGTTTATGGGAGTACAGGCAGGAAGTTCAATCACTCTCCCTCTGTGGAGATAAAGGCCATTTCCTCCAGAAGAACCAGATGAGCTCAGCAAACTGGCTTGAGAAAATTACATGTAAAAACTTCGGCTGTGAAGAAGCCAGAGAAGAGTGTGGCAGCAGTACCAGGAACATGACTTATCCAAATGTAAAAGCCTCTGGGGGTCAACAGTCATGAGCAATTTGGAATTTTGAGACACAGAGAAGTATTCACATGGGCCAAAAGACCTATGTATCCTAATCAAGGAGCTGCTCCCAGAGGGCATTCTCTTTAGTTCAGGCCTGCCACTCCACATCCCGACCTTTCACAGGCAACAGATTAGACCCAGGCAAGTTCCAGGGGTCTGGCCCTAAACATGACTGCCGAAGTATGTATGGATAACTAATGTTTGCTCAACCCTATGGCACAACTCATGTAAATTGGCTTCAAAAAGTTCCTTCTGAGCCCAGGCCTAAAACTCACTCTCAGTTCTTCTCATTTAGGATTTCATGGTGTACTAGAATTTGGTTTATAAAGATATGCTGTATGCTGCACGTGAGAGAGAGAGAGAGAGTAGGAGGAAAAAGGGAGAGAGAGAGAGAGAGAGAGAGAGAGAGAGAGAGAGAGAGAGAGAGAAGAGAAGAGAAGAGAAGAGAAGAGAAGAGATAGATAGAGATAAAGAGAAAGAGAAAGAGATAGAGATAGAGATAGAGATAGAGATAGAGATAGAGATAGAGACAGAGATAAAGATAGAGATAGAGATAGAGGTAAATCTTTCTACAGGCTCTTCTCTATCCCCTCCAATGTGATGTTCAAACAACTTTCTTATTCCAGAAATAGGGATCATATTACCACAGTGGTGTTTACCAGAAATTACAGACTGGTTGATTAAACTTCTGGAAAAGGTTCAAATTGTAATGAGTTCAGGAAGTTAATCTTGACTTGTCCCTGGATTTTAGCAGGAGTGGTGCCACATCGGGGGCTGTATTTCTCTTTAACACTGACATTACATGCACCAGGAAGAACCTGGAAAATTGTAGGAGCCCAAGCTCAGGCAGCTTCTATGAAATCCCAGAGTCCAGGAGTTACAAGGAGGGACCACTTAGAATGACCAGGAAACAAAGTCTGAGCTGAATTTGTCTTCTTCAAGAGCAAGAACCTTTCCTCTTCCCATGCAGATCCTGTTTTCCTGGGGCACTGGAGGCAGGAGCACATCTGCATCAAGGGCTGTCCTTCCTGCCCAGTTTAGGAGAGGACCTGCCGACTTCCAGCACCCATACATGAATCTGGGGATGTTTTTACCACATCCTGGTCCCCTTCCACCTGCCCTCATCATGGCTCTCACTTATGTACAGGTCACAGCTGCCTTTGAGCACATGATTCCTACTGGGATCCCAAGGCATCTGTCCTTCCAACCATTTGTTTTCTGTTTTGTTTTTGAGTGAGAGAGTGGTTCTTAGAATGTGCTCAGAAGGCTGGGAGCCCTCATTATGCATCCCTGGGATGTCAGCCAACCTCTCATGAGCCTGATGCTGGGACACCCACTGAAGACAGAAATCAGAGATCTCCCCAATTCATACGAGCTCTTTTGGAGAACATAACTTGCTACAGTGTACAGAAGGAAAAACAACATCCCAGCTGATTTTCTGGATCCAGAGAACTAGAGGCTGAAGGATGCCCATCCTGGTTTCCAGAACAATCCCCACATCTATGGACTTTCTCAGGCCCTGGGAATCAGTCCCCATGCATGGGCTTTCCAACATTCAGCTGTCTTTGCCCAGCCTTTGAGCAGACATACTTCCACCAAACTGGACCGTCTAGATGGAATGGTCACCTTCCTAAAAAATACAAGCTTTCAAAACTCAATTAGGAATAAGTAAAAATAAAACATGAATAGGCTAATAGCTACTGATGAATTAAAATAGGAATTAAAAACCTTAAAGCCAACAAAAGCCCTGAACCACATGGCTTCACAGTGGAGTTCACTGAACTTTAAAGTAAGAACTAAAACCAATCCTTCTCAGACTATACCAAAATTTGCAAGGGAGAGGCTCTTTCTATGAAGTCAGATTACTCTAACATGAAAACCAAATAAAGACACCACATGAAATAGTTACAAATCTATATCCTGGATGAACATAGGTTCTAAAATCCATAACAAACTTCCACCAAACCAGATCCAGCATTACATCAGAAAGATCATACACCATAAACAATTGGGATTTATTCCAGGGATGCAAGGCTGGTCCAATATCCAAAAGTTGATAAATGTCATACATCCCATAAACTGAGAGACAAGTCACATAATTATATTATCAATTGATACAGAAATGGCACTTGACAAAGTTCAACACCATTTTGTGATAAAAACACTCAGTAAAGTGAGAATAGAAGGATCATAATAAAAGTCTTATTTGACAAACCTACAAATAACAAAATATTGAATGGTGAAAAACTGAAACTGCCAAAATTGGTTTGGCTCAGTGGTAGAGCGTTGGTCTGCAGACTGAAGGGTCCCAGGTTTGATTCTGGTCAAGGGCATGTATCTTGGATGCCGGCACATCCCCATTAGGGTGTGTGCAGGAGGCAGCTGGTAGATGTTTCTCTCTCATCGATGTTTCTAACTCTCTATCCTTCTGCTTCCTCTCTGTAAAAAATCAATAAAATATATAAAAAAAAAAAACTTAAACTATTTCCCTTAAGAACAGGAATAAGATAGGATGCCTGCTTTCACCACTACTGTTCCACATAGAACTAGAAGTGCTAGTCACAGTGATTAGACAAGAATAAGAAATAAATAGCATCCAAATTGGAAAAAAATAAATAAAATTATCATTATTTTCAGATAACATACTGTCTATAGAAAACCCAAAGACTCCATAATAAAATTAGACTTAATAAATGAATTTGGCAATGTAACAGGATAGGAAAAAACACCAAGAAATCTATGGCATTTTTATACAGCAATAGTGAATTTACAGAAAAAAAAAAACATTTAAAAAACAATCCCATTTACCATATCACCAAAAAATAAATAAATGAATAAATAAATACATATATAAATATTCCTAGGAATAAACTAAGGAGG